GAGGGTCCGCAGCGGGCGCTGGGCTCCTGCAGAGCAGAACCAGGGCTCGGCGACTCTCGCATGACCTTCCACGACACGCTCACTGCCGATGAGTGACATCAGACAACCAGCAAAGGTCCAAGCAAAGGGCTGGGATATGGCTCAGCGGCACAGCACCTGCCTGCAAGTGCAAGGCCTGAGTTTGATTCCTGGCTCCAACAAACAAACAAACAAAACCAAAGTGTACGATAAGCAAGTGCAAGGCCAGCCTGCACTCCATAGAGAGATCCTGTCTCAAGAAAAACGAAAACAAATACAAGTAAGTAAGAGCTGGGGGTGGTGTGCCTGTTTTCCCAGCACTCGGGAGGCTGAGGCAGAAGGATTTAAAAGTCAAGCCCAGTCTGGACAACTCAGCAAGACTCTGTCTCAAATCTTCACAAAAAAAACTTTTTAAGAGCTGAGAATATGGCTCGATGTGAAGGCCCTGGGTTCAATCCAAGTATGGGGGAGCAAGAATCTAAGTATGACTGTCACCTTTTGGGGCATGTTTTCTAGAACCTTCTCTGTTAAGGGCCAGGTAGTAAATTGTAGCTTTGTAGGCCACGAGGTAACACAGAGATGACGTGAGCACCTGTACAACAGCAAGCACGCGTCTGCACCAGATTCACACACACAGTGTAACTACACACCAGTCGGGAGCACTTGTTTGCACACAGGTCTGCTGAGAGGAAGAACACAGCTCCTTCTTCGGAGAGGCAGCATTCTGTTGGACAGGTGTCCTGGCGCACACCTGTCATCCTAGTACTCAGGAGGCTGAGGCAGGAGGATCACGATGACATCAAGGCTAGCCTAGGCTACATAGTGAGATCCTGCCCCAAAACAATAAAATGAAACCAAAAAATCTACAGGCAATGGTCATCTGTTGATACTGATCTGTAGTGATATTTTATGCTCTTCCTCTTGTGAAATGTCCCTTCATGCCAAGAGAGCTCCTGAGAGCTTCATCCTGAGAGCTCCCGGCAGGCCCTACACACACGCATGCACACACACACACTCACATGCACACGCACCAGGGCCAGCTGGATCCGGCAAGTACAGGACCGGAAATACCAGAGGGCTGGGGAAGGAGCCAGAGCTCGGCAAGCGGGACCCTGGGTTCAATCCCAGCCCAGGAAGGAAGCTCTTTAGTTTCTTCAAAAGCAAAACGTGGGGGCTGGGGATTTAGCTCAGCGGCACAGAGCCTGCCTGGCAGGCCCAAGGTTGTGAGTTTGATTCCCAGTACCGGAGAAAAAACTAAAAAAAAAAGACAAAAAAGTAAAACAAAGTATACAGGAGGGTTGTGTGGATTACGTGCAAACACTACACTTTTTTGTTTTTCTTTGCAATACTTAGGACCAAACTCCAGGGCTTCCTACTGAGCTACATCCCAAGCTCTTTTTATTTAAAATTAAAAAGAAAATTTTTTTTGTTTTTGTTTTTTGGGACTGGGTCTTGCTCTGTAGCTCAGGATGGCCTTGAACTCACAGCAATCCTCCTGCCTCAGCCTCCCAAGAGCTGTACAGTTTTAATCAAGCCTATCCTTTGGGTGGCTGGCTCTTGTAGGTTCCACCCTGGTGCTCTCTGTCCTTTGTAATAAACTGGTAAACTCCGGCGAGTCTTTTCCTGAGACCTCCGAGCCCCGGTCTGGAATCTGCCAACTCAAGCAAGCCCGGGACCTGGATCGGCATCGCGGGACAGAGCGCAGGCTTTGCGCGCCGGAGCTGGGCAGGGCCGGGCGCCAGGTCCGCACAGACGGGGTCAGAAGGGGACCGGGGCCAGGACGTGGACCAGACAGGCGACGCAGGAGGGAAGCGTGCACGTGGACGCAGCCTCGACTACGGAGCAGGAGGGCGGAGGCCTGGGAGGAGGCCAGAACCACGCGGCGGGGGGGGGGGCGGGGGGGAGCCGGGTGACTCCGCTAGGGAGTGACGTTGGGTTGAAAAACCAAATGGCCTCAGGCTTGTGTTTCCACATTGCAGTCAAATTGACATCAGAGTCTACAAATTATATTTTATTAAAAAAAAATCTGCTTTACCAGCCTGGGCGTAGTGGCGCCCGCCTACGATCCCAGCACTCCGGGAGGCTGAGGCAGGAGGATCACAGGTTTAAGCGCAGCCTGGGCACGGTAGTAACTGAGGGAGGTCCTGTCTCGGAAAAACAAAGGTGGGGGGATGCGGCTCAGCGCGAGCGAGCCGGACCCGGTGTTAAACTGCAGTGTCGCGTCTTGGCCACACACAGCGCTGTGACCGTGCGGCACGCCAAGCCCCCACGCCGCGCGTCCGTCTGGCGGGGGGGGGGGGTGCTGCAGTACCGCGCACGCGTACACGCGCGCTCAAGGCTCCCGGGCGCAGGCGCAACACAGGGAGCCAAACCCGTGCCGCCAGTGCGCACTCGCCGTGGGGCGGAGCGCGGTAGGCGGGCCCAGCGGTGGGCGGGGCCTTCGGACAGGGTCAAGCGCGCGTGCGCCGCAGCAGGGCCCTGCCCTTCGGTACTCGGTGCTTGGCTTTCCCTGTCTGTAAAATGGGGACACCCCTGCTGGTGACTGTGGGTGCTGATGGTGACTAGCCTTTTAAAAGAGCTAAACCTAGAACCTACTGGCACAGGCTTCTCAGCTCAGGACGGTGCTGAGCACAGTAAGCACAAAATGCTAGATACTCCCCCACAGATGGGACCCTGCCCTCGCCACTCCCGCCACGATACGGCATAGCCACTATGTGAGAAGCTTCACAGAGAGGGAACGGGTCTGAGAGCCTGCCCCTTGTCCCTGTGGGTGGACTGAGTCCCTGAGACCAGGCAGGAAGGGTGTCCTGCGCTAGCATCCAGGGCGACACCTTGGACACCCTTGCACTGCATCTGGAAAAGAAACCGGAGAACTGACAGTGCAGGGGTCCGTTCCTGCCGGGAGGCGAATCGGCCTGGAACCCGCCCTCCCAGCTCCTGCCCCTCCTGGCCAGCCTCGGGTCCCAGCAGGGCTGCCACTGCTCACTGAGCTTGGCTCC